ACCCAGGTGCCCCGAAAACACTAGATATTAAATGTCAGCACTAACTCTTCAATTTTTTTCAGTATTACGTTGTGCAAATGGTATCTTTGGTTTGATTAGAGCAGTGCTGAGCAATAGAACTTTCTGTGATGATGGAAGTGTTCTATATCTGTGCTGTCAAATACAGAGCCACTCTGTTGAGCACTTGAATTAGGTCTTCTGCAACAGAAGAACTGAATTTTTAATTTTATGTAATTTTAAGAACAGTTGACCCTTGAACAATACAGGGGTTAGGGTGCTAACCCCCTGCACAGTCGAAAATTCTTGTATCACTTTTGACTCCCCCAAAACTTAACTACTAACAGCCTGCTATTGCCCAGAAGCCTCACTGCTAACATAAACAGCTGATTAACACATATTTTGTATGTTTTTTGTATTATATTCTGTATTCTCACAGTAAACTTGAGAAAAGAAAATGTTACTAAGGAAACCACAAAGGAGAGAAAATACACTTCTAGTTCTGCACTGTACTGATCAAAAATATGCATGTATAAATGGGCCTGCACAGTTCAAACCTGTGTTGTTCCAGGGTCACCTGTAATTGCCACATGTGCTCAGTGGCTACTGTCTCGGATGGTGCAGGAGTAGATGCTCCAGGAGCCCTGCTTCATTAGCATCATTAAAAACATTTGTTTTACTATTTTTTATTTTTAAACATTTATTTGTTTTGATAGAGAGTGAGAGCATGAGTAGGGGAGGGGCAGAGAGAATCCCAAGCAGGCTCTCCTCTGTCAGTGCTGAGCCCAGTGAGGGGCTCAATCTCATGAACCAGGAGCTGAGATTAAGAGTCAGACGCTTAACTGACTGAGCCACCAAGGTGCCCCTATTTTCTTTTGCCTTTTAAGTAAGTTCTGGGCCCAACATGGGGCTTGAACTCACGACCCCAAAATCAAGAGCCCCAAGCTCCACCGACTGATTCAGCCGGGCGTCCTTCACTATTAGCATCATTTTTTAAATTGATAATAATAACTTTTTTTTAAAGGAACGTATTTTTTCAAAAAAACTCATAAAACACAGGTAAATCAATTACTCCCTGGGTGTATATCCTTCCAGACCTACTTTTTCTGTATATATTTTTCAAAAATTGGGTATCTGCCGTTTTTCATCTGAGGTGTGGTCTACTTCTAAAGGTATATGATTCTAATACTGTCACTGCTGTTGATATTTGATCACGGTACAGGAAAGTGGGGAAAGACAGAGGATGCTTGTGATTAGGATGTGCGGAGCGCCTGCCTGAGTGTGGTGGACCGGGGCCGAGCTGGACGTAGAGGGAGTGACTTTCCCGGCAACTCCACTCTAGGGCCCTGAAAGAACTGTCTGGAGTTCGCTGCAACGAGCAATCCCCGTGGTGCTAAGCCCAGACGTCCTACCTCAGTACGACTCCTAGTCTTGCCCTCTTGGGAGCTCAGCTTTGGGGGTTGGCCTCTCTGCGTCCTCTTCTTACGGTCTCCTGTTTGTTCCAAGCCATTCTTTTGCAGCCCGTTCGTTGTGTGTTCTCGCACAGCCTTCTCTCCTGCTTTCCTGTACCGGGCTGCGGTTCTTGTTGCCGCCTAGAGGCTGCAAAATCCCTAGCCATGTACAGCTAAGAATAAACAAAGTTCCTTCCTAATTCCTTTCTCATTTTTCTCACCTAGACTCATGAAAGGTAATTGTACATGTGAAATTGCTATAACACTGTATGTTAATTATACCTGAATAAAAAAAAGCAAAAATCATAACTGCCAGTCTTAACACTTAAAAAAAAAAAGGTAGACACAGTTGCTAAGGGTAGGTATCTGTAGACCCAGAGAGTTTCTTTGGGAATGTTATGTAGTCGACGATGACACTCTCGGTTGAGGACAGATTGGGCTGTCTGGCTGGGACGAATGAGGGGATGGGGTGATTGAGAAGAGGGAAGAGCAACTCGTGAGGGGGACTCTCCCCTCCCCCATGCCAGCCCCATCATCTCGTTAAAGATGAGGCATGTGAGAGTCAACTCAGTAATGTCACAAAACAGGGATACAGGGGGAAACTTTTTGCACCAGGAGAGGGGGGAGGCAGGTTCCTCTGGCAGGACACTTGATCCATGGATGCCATTTCTGTGCGATTGGGGCATTTAATGCCTGTATCCTAGCACACTGGGCTGGAATATTTTTCTTAAACGCATCTTCTTTAGTAGCCTCCATTGGAAAGGTGGCTTTTCACGTGAAAAGATTTAAACTAAATTCTCCTCTTGAGGGGTGCCTGGGTGGCTCAGTCGGTTAAGTATCTGACTTCGGCTCAGGTCATGAGTTCGAGCCCCACGTCGGGCTCTGTGCTGTCAGTTCAGAGCCTGGAGCCTGCATTGGATTCTGTGTCTCCCTCTCTCTCTGCCCCTCCCCCACTTAAGCTCTGTCTCTCTCTGTCTCTCAAAAAATGAATAAACGTTAAAAAAAAAAAGTCTCTTGAGGCAAACAGGAATATGGAGGTTTGTTTGGATGCTAGTGGAGCAAGTGTCCTACATGCTTAGAGTTCTCTTTTCTCTTAGCGCGTCACCATAGTCTTTGAATCATGGGTTTTTTTCCCCTTGACTCCATACTTTTCAGTTCTCCTTTCTCTGTTTAAAAAAAAAAAAAAAAAAACACACGGGGGGGGGGGGGGGTGGCATTTGGAATTGGACTGTAATACCAAACTTGTACAGAAGATGTCACTGTCTACTTTGCTGTACCATGTGAATCATTTACTATCATTCATTCATGGAAAGCTTCAGGTTTTGTACAGTCTTTCTTTTTTTTCTCTTTTTTTGCTATTAATCATTTCTCTCTGTTTGAAATTCTAGCTTTTAAGTTAGTTGAATAAAAGGTGTCTATTATTTCCTTGAAAAGTAATATGCTTGAATTTTTTCATATCAGAAGTCATACTTAGATCTTTTTAGTTTGCAACACTGAATAGTTTTGGCCCAGTTGTGTTTTTTTTAAAATGATGCTCCATATAAAATGGACATGTGTAAAGAAGCATATGATGAAAATGGAAGTATATAAAGGTAAAAAGCCTTGTTATCCCCTTTCTCACTACTGAGACGTAACTGATGTTATAAACTTGTTTAAAATGCTGAACAAAATGGTTTCATAGGCAACACATTGCTCTACTACTTGGCTTTTTTAATTCCCATTGTTCATGTCAGCATGTATAGATTTTCAGATTCTTTTTAATAGTGGCACAATATTACCTTTTGCAGATGAATTTAATTTAAATAGGTCCCTGTTAATAGACATGTTGGTTGTCTCCAGTTTTTCTTTTTTATAAATAGTTGATACAGTGAACCTCCTTTATATGTATCTTTGCATAGTTGTGTTTTTATAGCATCAGTAGGATTGCTGGGGCAAATGGCACACATGCTTACAATTTCATTTTATTTTATTTTTTATTTATTTTTAAGTTTTATTTATTTATTGAGAGAGAGAGAGAGAGAGAGAGAGAGAAAGCGAGCAAGCAGGGAAGGGGCAGAGAGAGAGGGGGAGAGAGAGAATCCCAAGCAGGCTCCGTACTGTCAGCACAGAACCCGACTGGGGCTTGAACACACAAACTGTGGGATCATGATCTGAGCTGAAGTCAGACGCTTAACTAACTGAGCCACCCAGGAGCCCCACATGCTCACAATTTAATAGGTATTGCTATGTCATTTTGAAAAAGGCTTGTACCAGTTTATACTCTCACTGGGAGTGCTTGTTCCCCCTCACTTTTGTCAACATATATCATCAGGCTTAAATTTTGCCAGTGTGAATGGATGAATGGTAGAATCACGTCGTTTTAGTGTTTGTCTCTCAGCTCAATATCATTTTATATGTTACGGCCTTCTCTTCTGTGAATTGCCTATTTGTGTTTGTTCTTCATTTTCTATTGGATTCTTGTTCTTGGAATCCAGCATATAATGGGAATATTTGTTACAGATCTTTTCTTTCAGTTTGGGTTCATGTTATGCCTGGGTTTTTACCCTTTCTAAGAATGTGGAAATATTTCTTCTATGTTTTCTTCCGGTCTGCTTATGGTTTTATTTTTTACATTTAGATTTTAATTCAGCTGGAATTTATTTTTGGGTATGCTGTGAGGTAGGGATCATACTTTATCCCCCCCCCCCAATGGATAACTACTTCATTGAATAATTCATCTTTTCCTTACTGACTTAAAATACCGTCTTTATCATATACTAAATCCTCATATGTTTCTGGGCTCTATTCTGTTCCGTGGGCTCTTCGTAACTGTGCTGGTACAGCGTTGTTTTAATTGCTGTAGGTGTGGTATGGTCTGTTCTCTGGTAGGGTAGGCTCAGCTCTTTTGTCACCTGCTCTTTGGCTCTAGCACAGCCAAATTATGATTATCACCACTAACTACAGTGGATAAGGAGGATTTCCCTTTGAACTCCTGTAAGGGTCTCTGCTGGATTCTGTGACAGAAGAAAACTGGGAGCCTAAGAAGTATGCCTTAAAGGACTGCTAATCAGACCTGTTTCTCCAGACTGTGTTGAAGATGACGTGGATCTTGCCTAGATTGTTGAAGGCAGTATTTTGGGGGTTGAATGTGATATAGACCAGAATCTACAGCTTGCTTGACTCATGGGAATGGTCCAGGGCCAGAACCAGACATCTGTCATGCTAATAACTTCCTTCACGGTTCAGAAATTACTGTGACTGAATATGGGTGGCTGCTATAATACTGCCCACTTGACAATGTGTGTCTCCTATTTTTTAGGACTCTTAAAAGCATCAAATCAGTAATGGCCAATTAGAACTTTAAAATTCTTACTAATGTCTAGCTGAGAGTTACCTTGTTCATTTCTTGAAACATAATTCTTAATAATTTGTATCATTTAGAATATCATAATGATATGACATTAGATTGCTAACTTCTTAAATCTTCTAGGTCCCGTTTGATAATTTGAAATGTGTGTGTGTGTACGCAAAAGGATATACATATATGTATTTATATCTTTTTTTTTTAACTAGAATGACCAGTCAACAGGGGACATAAAAGTAATTGGTGGAGATGATCTCTCAACTTTAACTGGAAAGGTATGTGTCTTGAAGGGGAAGAAAAGAGTTCTCTTGACTTCATGCCAAGAGTCAATTAGTAACACTGTGCTTTATCACTAAGAGGCAGTTTACATGGTTATTTATACACCTAAACAAGGGTTATTTAACTCTTAGAAGCAATCTAAGTTAGCTATCTTTCCCTAGGTCATATGCAAGAGAGGCAGAAGAATCCAACATTAAAGTCCATATTACAAAGTACTTTCTCTGTGGTGATCTAATTTGGAATTGTTCAAAAATACATTTTTGGGCATCTCCTGGGTGGGCGGCTCAGTCAGTTAAGCGTCCAACTCTGGATTTCGGCTCAGGTCATGATCTCATGGTTCGTGAGATCGAGCCTCATGCTGGACTTTGCACTGACAGCTCATCATGGAGCCTGCTTGGGATTCTCTCTCTCTGCCCCTCCCCTGCATGCACATTCTCTCTCTCAAAATAAATAAGCTATATATATATATTGGGGGCGGGGGCGAGAAACAGTCTTCTTTTTAAAAACAGACTCACTCAAGGGCACCTGACTGGCTCAGTTGGTAGAATGGGTGACTGTTGATCTCAAGGTCATGAGTTCAAGCCCCATGTTTGGTATAGAGATTACATAAATAAATAAATAAAGCCTTAAAAAAAGTAAAAAAAAAATAGATTCACACAGCAAAACATGTAGTAGTTGTGAAAGTGTGGGTTCTAGAGATGGACAGCTTTTTTTTGTTTGTTTTTAAATAAACTCTACACCCAACATGGGGCTCAAGATGAAGAATCCCATGCTCTACCATCTGAGCCAGCCCTAAGATGGGCGGCTTTGATTCAAAGCCTGGTTCGGTACTTCCTCTGTGTGACCCTCGGCAGATTATCTAATCCCTCTGTCCTCCCGTATGTAAGGTGGGGACAGTAATGGCAAGTACCTCATAGAATTAAGAGCATTAAGTGAAATAGTGCATTAGACCTCTTCCAACAGTTTCTGGTAGTTAGAATACTCAATAAATTCAAACGTACTACTATTTTAAGAAATCTCAAAAAGAGTTCTTTAAAATGCATCAAGATATTTCCAGTGTAGACAGTTGGCCAAAACAATAGAGATATTAAGATATTTGAATATTATTCCTCTGATATATTGAAATGATTTTTGAGTAACCAGTGATAAATCATGGAATGTTACAGTTTTTTTCAGCTGCTAGTTATTTTTTTATTTCTAAACACTGCCAAATATAAAGGCATAATCTCATAAAAGTATCACAACCATCCCATGAGGTAAATACTGTTACCCCTATTTTACGGATCAGGAAACTAAGACTCAGCAAATTTGAAAGACTTGTCCAGAGTCACACTGCCGCTAAGTGGCAGAACTTGACTTTAAATGCAGGTCTGTCTGGCCCCACAGCTCTTTTCTTCCTCTGGCTTTTAGGTTTTAATGGTTACAGCTTGCTTGACTATCTGTTAGGAAACTTTAGCATGCAATACTGGTGTCAAATCCCCTTGCCCCATGTCAGTGTCATGCCAAACTAATCTTGTCTTCCTCAGCATCTTTTGAAAACTTCAAAAGAGAAATTATAATCTGTTGACTTTTTCCCCTTCCTGCCCATCTTATATACCACTGCCAAACCTATTCTTCCCTTCTAGCGTGCTTTGCCCATATTTAGAAGTCATTTGAAGTCCTTACTCCTATAATCAGTTTTTAGTGCTGGAAGGGGCCTAGCCTTCAAAGCGTCCTGGGATTCCATTTGACCTTGCCTTTCCCGCCTAATGGCTCTATCCTATTATGTGGCTTTGTGATCTTTAAAGGTCTCTTTCTAAGATAAATTTCTTTTCACAATCATCACAGTAGAACACATTTATTGTGGGGAAAAAAACAAGACACGTTAAGTTGGGTGAAGCTATTTCATGGTGGTGAGATTGTTTAGACTTTCTATTTCAGTTCTTTTTGGGACACTGTGTGTGTGCAGATACATAGGTATATAAATGTTCTTCCTCTTTTTTTCCAGTTAGTGCTTGAGAATATGGGCTTTGGACCCTGAAAACACTTCTTTAGATCTTTACCACTTCACTAGTTTTATGACTTTAGGCAAATTACTTGACCTCTGAGTCTCATTCTTTTCATTTATGAAGTAAGGATGTAGCTATTTGGCATAAAATGAGCTCTCCATAATGGTGGAAATTCTCATTATTTTTAAATATTTTTAAAATTAAGTTTCTTTATTTGTTTTGAGAGAGAGAGCGAGTGAGCTGGTGCCCATGGAGGGGAGGGGCAGAGAAAGAGAGGATCCTAAGCAGGCTCCTTGCCATCCGTGCAGAGGCCGAGCCTGGCTCGAACTCACAAGCTGTGAGATCATGACCTGGGCTGAAACCGAGTCAGACGCTTCACCGACTGAGCCACCCAGGCGCCCCTCGTTGTTTATTTTTAAAACAGTATTGAGATCGTACTCTAGATACTACGATTTTGTATCGGGTAAATATTTACTCTCTTTGGATTTTGATTGATTTGTACAAACTGTATCATAATACCAGAAGTCAGTGGTTATGATTTAATCAAGGTTGTGCAGCTAGAATTAGAGCCAAGACTAGAATACAGTTTCTGTCTCATAATCCAGTTCTGTTTTCAAACTATAACTCCATCCCATGGTGTAAATTGCTGCAGCAGTGAGCCACAGTTAGGACGGGAGGATGTTGTGCTAGCACAGAGCCACATGGTAGGTGGTGAGACAGTTACTGGTCCAATAACCGCTTATATTCGCTTTTAGTAGTGATTGAGATTGCGGTATCTTTTGAAAAGAGCCAAATTAGTTGTGATATGAGGAAAGGGGTAAATGATATACAGACTGTGGTAACAGTGTTACGTACATTACAAAATACACACAAAATTACAGGTTAAACAGGGTAAGGTTAAAAAAAGTTCGAATATTTCTTGCAACCCTGTGGATCTCGTGTGCCCTACCTTGATAACCACTGACTTAGAAGAATATATAGAACATTAAAATTCCGATGCAATAGGTATGTGACCAAGAAATGAGATCTGCAAATACACAGTATAGCATGAATCTTTCTTATGACAGTGATTAAACCAGTATGTGAAATGCTGCCTCGTTCCCATAACTGACATAAGAATAGATAGAGCTCTTCTCTACCTTGGAGGTCATTGTTAGATGGTTTCTCCTGTAAGGGCTTTTCCAGTTATAAAATTCTGAGAGGTAGAAACTGGGGTGAGGGTTTATGGTGGAAGAAAGCATTGGTACCTTTCTTTAGTTGAGTCCAAGAATACGAACACATCCAGAAAATGCAGATCAGTTTCAGCCTAATGAGAAAATGGGTTTTGAGTTGGGTTCCGTATGGTAAGTTAAATGCATGATTTTGGAGTTACAGTAAAAATTATAGTTGTTGAATGTTAGAGTTGGAAGGTACATACTAGTTCAAGTCCCTTATTTTACACATGGTAAACTGAGGCCCAGAGAAATTTCACTCTCTGCCCAAGATTAGACATTTGTTTAAAATAATGAGAATTTAAAAAATGTTTTTTAATCTTTATTTATTCTTGAGAGAGAGAGAGACAGAGTGAGAGTAGGGGAGGAACAGAGAGAGAGGGAGATGCAGAATCCAAAGCAGGCTCCAGGCTCCGAGCTGTCAGCACAGAGCCGGACGCGGGGCTTGAACCCACGAACCGTGAGATCATGACCTGAGCCCAAGTCGGGCGCTTAACCGACTGAGCCACCCAGGTGCCCCTAAAATAATGAGGATTTTTAAAAAAAAAATGAACATATAGGTCAAATTTTATTTTTAAAAATTCCATTATAGTGAAAATTTCTAATTAAAGAGTTCCATATCCCAGCAGATGGCCCATTGTTTAAATCAGGGTTTGATATAGGAAGGTATCTTAAAACAAGAATTTGGATGATGAGTTTGTTATGATGTGATTTAAGTTATAATTGGAAACACTGTCTGACTCATTGTACTGATTTTCATTTTTTTTTCTTCTAGAATGTCTTGATTGTTGAGGTAAGTTCCACCTTCTTTTAATATAGTTATTTATGACTCTTCTGATTTAGTTTGCATAGTCCTAAAGGTAATCCAGGGAAAGAAATTCCTCTTCATCAATTTTAATGGTGGGCTTGTGTTATGTAAAAGGGAGTAAGATTGTTTTTTTGTGAGAAATACTTAGTAATTTATTTTTATTGGATAATGGAAAAATGTTGGTATATTTCTTACCCTTCTCTTTTGGGCTTGAAATTTTTTTTCTTTCTTTTAAAGTTGTGTATATCATTCCCGTGTATGTTTTTTTATACTTCTATTGCATATGTGTATCCATATCCAAAACATATTTTGTGATTTAATGATTCTGTAGTGCTGCACTATACATATTCTCTCTCACCCCTTGTTATTTTCACTCAATACATTCTGAGATTGTTCGTGTTGGGACGTACGGTTCGTTGGCCTTAAAGTGCAACATCGCATTGCAGTGACAGATCCACCAATTTATGGCCCTACAAATAGGGCAAGCCTTCCATTTTTCCTACAGGGCTGCTAAGAGCATCCTTTTGCGGTACCCTACATGCACGTGTGTGAGTTCCGTCTATATACAGGCACTCAGGAGTGCAGTGACCACACTAAGTACATTTTGTTTTACTGTTATTGCCAGATTACTCAACAGAGTGGTTGTATGCTTTTTCACTCTCACCAGGAGAATGAGTTCTCATTCTTGTATGTAAAATGTTTAAGGCTTAAGAGCAACAGTATCCCCCAATTCATTTTCGTTGTTTTTAAGGTTTTTAGAAACTTTAGCTTGTGGATTAAAAACTAAACAGATAACACTTTTCCAAGGATGCAGGAATATCCCTGGGAACCGGTTGCTTGTTCGTAAATGTAGATTAATTCCACTTCAGATTGATTTTGTGTGGGGTAATGCCACCTAACAAATTGCTGCAAATCCAGCTTAAAACCACACGTGTAGCGTCTCCGCTTTCATGGGGCGGGGGCCTGAGTACCAGTTAGCTGGGTCCTCCGCTCGGTCTCATCAGGCTGAATCAAGGCTGGGGCTCCTGTCTCACCCATGGCCCGTGGTAATCTTCCAAGTTCATTTGGGTGGTTGGCAGAATTTAGTGCTTGTGGTTGCAGGGTCGAGGGCCCCGTCGTCTTCCTGGCTGCTGGCCTGGGGCGGCTCCCAGCTTCTAAAGGCCGACCTCGCGCCCTTGCACGGGGCCCTCTCACCTGGCAGCTGACTTCTTCGGAACCAGCAGGAGATCCTCTCTCCGGTGTGCTGTCTCCTAGAGCTAATCCCCCTCATTTTCACAGGCCTGCTCATGCTGGGGGTGGGGGTTATCCTGGGCGTGTCCACTGGGCAGTGGGAGTCTTGGGGGCCATCCGAATTCTAGCCACTTTCTCAGGTCTGTAGCCCTGACGTTGCTGATGACTCACACCTACCACTTTGTGAAGCTTCACACCATCTGTGGAGGGTTTTCGTTGAAGAGCATTAGGGTTATGGTTTAAGAAGTTTTTTCTCAACTGGAGATGGGTTTGTTTTGGATAATGTCCTACTTTTTTTTAAATGAAGTAGGTTCCACACCCACCACAGGGCTTGAACTCACCACCCTGAAATCAGGAGTCACGGGCTGTGCCTATTGAGCCAGCCAGGCGCCCCGTTAATGTTGACTAAATAGCTAAGATTCACCTTCATGTAAAGTCATTTTATATAGTAAAACCTTATTTATTTGGATACTTCCAAGATGGCATAAAGCAGTGTTACTCAGAATGTGGTCTATTAACCACGTGCATCCGAGAGTTGGTTACACTAAAAAAAAAAAAAAAAAAAAAAAAAAAAAAAAAAAAAAAAAAAAAAAAGAAAAGCATTATTCCATTTACACACAGCACTTTGGCATTTTGTATTTATATAATTTCTCAGTTTGATTCACTATATAAATGTCTTTTCTCTTTTTTTTTTAAGGATATAATTGACACTGGCAAAACAATGCAAACCTTGCTCTCCATGGTCAAGCAGCATAATCCAAAGATGGTCAAGGTTGCAAGGTAGGTATATGACATTATGACATGGGGCATTTTCTTCATTTGAAACAGGATTAAGTAATTGCTTCTTTGTAACGGTAAATGTGCTCGAGTCGTGTTGTCTTCAAAAAGTAATGTGATCTCGAATAAGACTCAGTAAATATCCTTTGTAAATAATGTTGTCATGTGTTAACAAAGCCCTTCATTGCAGTCATTTTTGCCGAATATCATTAACATTTGGTTTTTCAGCATGCTGATAATGGTATCAACTTGTCCCAGGTAGCATGGTAGATGGTTTGGGACTCTCTTGGAAAAATGAGACCAAGGATCCCAAATTGAGGTTCGGAGGTGGCAGGAGGGGGATGGGTTCCGAGGTCCAGGTAGTGGCGACACGTGCCAGCCTCACCTCCGGGCCCTGCCTGTGCTGTTTGGCTTGTGCTTTCTTAGTTCTACCTTTGTTTGTAGCTTAATTATAATTGTATTTCATTATAATTACAGTGTAATCCCTGACAACTGGGAGATAGCACTTTACTCCCACTTTGCAGATAAGGGTACCAAGGCGTAGGGAGCTGGCTGAAGGCACATAGCCTGGCTAGCACACTCTAGAGGTGAGGTTTGAAGCCAGGCAAGCCGGCTCAGAGTTTGTGCTTTACCGCCTTAGGTTTTCGGTAGGGTAACATCCCAGATGGTTTTTTGGTTTTTGTTGTTTTGTTGTTTTAGATTTTTGCAGTGTCAGCGTTTATTTTGAAATCACTGACCATGCTATAATTTTTCTGTGACAAGAGTGTATAATGATGCACTCTTAGGGCACTAGTACCCTGGAAGCCAATCGGCGCTCTTGCTTATTTCTCTACGTGCTCTTTAGGATTGTAGATGTCAACCTACTGTGACCTAGGATGTCCTGTAGCCTCTGAATGTTCCTTTGTCCCTCTTTCCCGGAGTATGCTGTGGAATTGAGAATGCCTCATGAAAGAGGGATTTTGTGTTGCTGGAGGTATGACGTGCTCAAAGAATAAATACTTAGGTCATTTCTTACTGATGCATTTGGCCTAAGTCAGTGTTTCTTAACCTTTTCTTCTTAGTCTCTCCCTCACCGGTGAATTTTAATATCTCAAATACATTGTATGTCTGTTTACAGTATGCGTGTATCTGTGCTTTATACATAAGAGTAAGCATGAGAGCTTATTTTTGTTATTCAGTGCAGCTTTAAGAATGACTAGATAACCATTTTAACTTAAAAGTTTAATTCAGGGGTGCCTGGGTGGCGCAGTCGGTTAAGCGTCCGACTTCAGCCAGGTCACGATCTCGCGGTCCGGGAGTTTGAGCCCCGTGTCGGGCTCCGGGCTGACGGCTCGGAGCCTGGAGCCTGTTTCCGATTCTGTGTCTCCCTCTCTCTCTGCCCCTCCCCCGTTCATGCTCTGTCTCTCTCTGTCCCAAAAATAAATAAAAAACGTTGAAAAAAAATAATTAAAAAAAAAAAAGTTTAATTCAAAATGTAAGCACTATTGGGGCGCCTGGGTGGTGCAGTCGGTTGAGCATCTGACCCTTGATTTTGGCTCAGGTCCTGCATCCAGGCGCTGATCATGGAGCCTGCTTGAGATTGTCTCTCTCTCTCCCTCACCCTGCCCCTCTCCCCTGCTCATGCCCTCTCTCTCAAAAAATAAAAAATAAAACACTTAAAAACTATGAACCGATAGGAATGTCAAACGGAATGGCTGCTTTGGCAAATAGTCTGGCAGTTTCGTGAGAAACAAAACACGTAGCTATCATAGGACTCCAGCATCTGCGTTTATCCCAGAGAAATGAGGACTCACGTTCTCACAAAAATTTGTATATGAAAGTTCATAGCGGCTTCATCTGTAATAGCCCCAAACTGGCAACAACCAAAATGTCCCTCAGTGGGTGAATGGCTAAGCAGACCGCCGTGCACCTTCTGTGGAGCCCCGCTCAGCGGGACAGAGGAGCGCGCCATTGAGCCACGCGGCCACTTCGCTGAGCCTCGGGGGAGTTGTGCTGATAAGAGCCCATCCTGAAAGCTCACCTCCTGTGTGAGTCCATTTACGCCACCCCCTTAAAGTGACAAAATGATAGAAACGGACAACGCATTAGTGCTTGCCGGGGTGAGGGGGGTAATGGGTGGGTGTGACTGGAAATAAAGAGGTGGACAGAGAGAGCCTCGTGTGATGGAAAGTTCTGTATCTTCAGTGTGGTGGTGGTTACATGGATCCACGCGTGTGATAAAATTGCCAAGAAGTATACGCACGTGCACACACACAAATGTACGTGTGAATGACTGGTGGAATCTGGAGAAGGTCGGTTCCCCAGAGTCTGTGTGGGAACTGGTGGTGGCAGGCTCCTACCACGTGAGCTGTCAGCACTGGAGGAACCTGGGGAGAGGGCACGTAGGACCTCCCGTGCACTTTTGTGACTTCCTGGGGATCCATAATTATTTCAAAATGAAAACTTTGAAAAAGCTGTTAACGTTGGACTCTCTAGCTGCTTAGTAACTTTTAATACAGGTGTAGCTCATTCTGTTGTGCTTTGCCTCATCGCACTTTGGAGATGCTGTGCGTTTTACAGACTGAAGGCCTGTGGCAGCCCTGCATCGGGCAAGTCGGTGCGCAGGCGCCGTTCCTTTTTCCAATAGTATTTGCTCATGTCGTCTGTATCACATTTGGATGATTCTTGGAATGTTGCAGAGTTTTTCATTATTATTGTATGCTTGCCGTGGGGATCTGCGATCGGTGATTATGACTTCTGAAAGCTCAGATGATGGTTTTAGCATGTTTTAACAATACAGTGTTTTTAAATTAAGGCACGAACACTTTTTAGACATAATGCTGTTGCACACTTAATAGACTACAGCGGAGTGTAAACATAACTTTGTGCACTGGGAGACCCCAAAATTGATTTGACTCCCTCTTTTGTGATATTTGCTTTGTTGTGGTGCTCTGAAACCAAACCTGCAAGATCTCTGAGCTATGCCTATATAATTTACTCACTTCTACAGACTGTAAAAATTAAAAAAAAAAAACAAAAACAAAAAGAAACCTGTGTCGGTGTCCCATCTGTAGCAGTTCTGATGTATGGGTCAGGGGTGTGGTCTGGGTATCTTGAGTGTTGTTTTGTTAAAGTTCCCAGGTGATTCCGATGTGCAGCTAAGGTTGAGAATCGCTTCCTGTCCTTCCCAGGTTTTTAAATATATTTATCTAGGAAGGTATAAAATCATAAGTTGTGTCGGGACTGCCCTTAACGTGCGTAAAGGCTGTCGAAACACTGTCTGCAACTTTTCTTAACGGCTGAAGATTTTCAGCAGGTACTAGGCACTTGAGTTACAAGATTGGCTTATGTTGGAGGTGGCTTATCCCACCTGTGATTTTCGCTCTCAGAAGTAAATACTAGCTCCTCCAGCATGCTAGTTATATTTCAGCCTAAAGATCCTTTGTAAGCCACGAATTAAAGGTCTCAAAAGGCGATGCTCACATCTCCTACCCCTTTGCAGCGTTAGGATTGGATTTCCAGGGATTCTGAACCACTCGTTGGCACTCCCCATCCATTCATCCTTCTGATTAGCTGCCCTTCGATGGGTGCACGGGCGCTCGGGGTGCAGCTCTCGGGACAGTCGATCGTGTTCCAGGCGGGGCTCAGTCAAGGGCCTCATCTGTGGTGTGAACTCACTGCTGCTCCTGCCCAGCGGTCCCTGTGACCCAGCTCGCCGTTTCATAGTGTGCCTTGGGGTGTGTTGAAACCGAACGTAGTATATTCCACATGCAGGTGAAAGCAGGTTTCAGAGCACTATGTTCTCTTGTGTGGTGCCCCGTCATGTCTCCATATGTCACATGTTACATTTTGTCACTAACAGCTTGCTGGTGAAGAGGACCCCTCGAAGCGTTGGCTATAAACCAGACTGTAAGTGAATTACTTTTTGTCAATCATTGAACCATCTTTAACCCAAACGAGTTTTGTCGGAAATGGTGCAGAGTTACTTTAGAGAATATTTGCGGAGAAGGCACATTTGTAAGCATTGGATCGGAAAGTGATGTGCTGTATCTAAGTGATGAATTGTGATTCTTTGTAGTTGTCGGATTTGAAATCCCAGACAAGTTTGTCGTAGGATATGCCCTTGACTACAATGAATACTTCAGGGACTTGAATGTAAGTAATGCTTCTTTTCCTCGCTCTCATTTTTCAGAACCCGTATACAAATTTACGAAAGAGAAGAATTGTTTTCTCTTTCCAGCACCTCATCATTGGAACAGACTGATGGTTCCCATTAGTCACATAAAGCTGTAGTCGAGTGCAGACGTCCTGAGAGCTGGAACGTGGCCAGGCTAGCGCGACACTTCTTGCTGGCTGCAACAGTTGAGCAGCTTTAGTACACAGTAACTGTCCCATTATGATTGCGGATGATAGATGTGGTCATAAGTAAGAAATAAGTGAACTGGCTCAAGTCTTTGCACTCACTCTCTTTCAGATCCCTGCCTCTGCTCCGTAGGCGGGAGGCCTGAAAGCGCGTTGGTGCACACGGGCGGGGGAGATTAGCCAGGCCGCGCGAACATCTGTCTGTCCAGCGAACAGCCCCGCGGCACGGTGCAGAACGCGCTTCTTGCCTTGTGTCGCAGAATACGCTTTTCTAATGTGGATTTCTGACTTTCTGTTTTACAGCACGTTTGTGTCATTAGTGAAACTGGAAAAGCAAAATACAAAGCGTAAGATGAGATTTCAAGTTGAGTTTGGAAGCGCCTGGAGTCCCCTTGGAATCACCAGTCCCGTGTTCTAGTTCTGTGGCCAGCTGCCTAGTAGAGCTTTTTGCATGTATCTCCTAAGAATTTTATCTGTTTTGTATTTTAGAAATGTCAGTTCTTTATTTGCACTATAAGCATATAGACTATCAGTTCCCTTTGGGTGGATTGGTGTTTGACTTGTGAATGAAAAATCTCTTAAACCACACCACTATTGAATGAAAATAATGAAATTGTATCTGTAAGAAACATTTAAAGAGAAGATATATTAGTTTTTTAATTGGTATTTTAATTTTTATATATTCAGGAAAGAACAGAAGTGATTGAATATTGGTAATTATACTACTGTGTATTTAGAAGAGGAAGAAACAATTTTCCTATCAGTGACAGCATCTAAGGTATTGTGTTGGATAAGCCATACGTCCTGGAATTATTTTACTGTTTCAGTAGTATCGACTGTATTTTCTCACTTGTTCAGATGATTTCCGGTGAATCTTTGTCAACAGTTCCTTTTAAATACAAATCTGCAAATTCCAGAAAACTTGACCACGTTTTGAATTCTTCAGTGTAAAAATCCTTACAATAAAGGCTGTCTCTTTAAAAGAAACTATGCATACCTATCATTTCTCTACAAATTAACCTAGTGTCGTTTTTTGTCCGTTGCCTTTTCCTTGTCTGTTAAGTTTTAGCAGCTATTTTAATTGTAATCTTTACCAAGCATAGCAAATACTGATTACCTGGTAGAGTGGGTTGGCAGAGCTAGTGAAATCCTTACCAACCCGGGGACGTTAAATTTCCGACACACAGTGTACTTTATCACACCTCACTGTGTTAACGCAACACGGCTTTGTCTCGGAGTTGTGTTAGATGGCTCACATCGCAGTCTCGCATGCGGCTCAGCAGTCTGCCTGCAGACACGTGATGGTACCTTCCTCGTGTAGACAGGAATCTTACTGATTAAAGACCAGCAGCAGCAAAACCTCTTGTTTTCTGGGAGCAGGAAGAAAAGTTTGAAACCCAAACTCTCAGTGGCTTCTCTGCCCCAGGTAGGGTATGAACCGGCAACCCCGTGAGCCATCTAGCCGTATCGATGCCTTAAAAAGTTGCTGTAGGGGCGCCTAGGTGGCTCAGTCGGTTAAGCAGCCGACTTTGGCTCAGGTCATGATCTCGCGGTCCGTGGGTTCGAGCCCCGTGTCGGGCTCTGTGCTGACAGCTCAGAGCCTGGAACCTGTTTCAGATTCTGTGTCTCCCTCTCTCTCTCTGCCCCTCCCCTGTTCATGCTGTGTCTCTCCCTGTCTCAAAAATAAATAAAACGTTAAAAAAAAGTTGCTGTAATTCCCGGGAGCAAAGTAGGGAAGAACTTTAAGTAATACCAAGTAATCATTTGTTGCAGTCCTAGAACTTGCAGAAAACCTTTTCACTTCCGTTCTCTCCTTTGATCTTCATAACCCTGTGACGTCGAGGTTGGTGTTGGTGCACGCAAGCGGAGTACCCGCCATGAGTCCCGATTCCTCTCCTCCCGTCAACACGTCACCTCCCGGTGGGCTACCCGATGGGCTGCGTCCCGCTGCTTCTCCCCCGCCACCTTTTCGGGTGCACTTCCCACCTCCGGTCAGGTTGAACCGTGTGAAATGACCGTTCTTGTAGGTAAAAAATTATTGGCTGTTGGCAATTTCGAGTGGTATAACGTAAAAACGTGCTGTGTTATCTACATTTGTATGTATTGCTTACTCTTTGTCTCCCCCATCCAAATCTTCTAGAACTTGAGCCCCATTAGGGAGGCAAGAATTTTTATCTGTCTCGTGCACTGATGTAGACTCAGTGTCTCAAAGTTACTGGGAACTCAGGTGATGTTGAATGGATGAATGGCTAAGAGCCCTGGGTTAGACCACCCTGACCTTTGCTTATTAGCTGTATGACATTGAGTGACTGAACCTTGGAACCCGTTTCCAGCTCATGAATGGGGGGATTGCTGGCTCTCCACAGGCGTGCCGTGAGGCTAGTTAGATGCGGTAGTGCAGGTGACACAGGACAGTGTGGCCTGGGACCTAGCAAGGGCTCCGTGAACATTAGTTGATGCTGAAAGAAATGAATGTTTTGAGAACTTAGGTACATGGCCGGTAAGTGGCAGAGAATTCAAATGAGATCTGTCTGATTCTTGCTACAGTGTCATGAAGAAGCTCAGCTGTCTTCCTCTGATTCACCGGAACTCCTTGGTTTCTGGTTGGGTGATGTTTGAGCTGCTTGGTAAACCCTTCAGGAAGCCCAGCTGGCAGCCAGGAAGGAAGGCCCCGCGAGCTCACACACTTTTCTTTTTTCTTTCTTTTTTTTAAATCTATTTTTAGAGAGAGAGTGCGGGAGGGGCAGAGAGAGACGGAATCCCAAGCAGGCTCCGCACTGTCAGCGCGGAGCCCAGCGTGGGGCTTGAACTCCCGAGCTGTGACATCATGACCTGAGCCGAAACCAAGAGGTCAGACGCTCCACCCACCGAGCTACCCAGGCGTCCCTCATGCACTTTTCTCATAAGAGTTCTCAGCCCTTACTTCAGCCGCTTTTCGGGCATACGCTTCTAATCATTTTATTTCTTTAACCAATTTACAACAGGTTACGTGTAGCCCGTTCATAAGATGACAGAAGGGACACACCATGGGAGCATCAGTAATTTCTGGAATAACGGTCTGTCAAGGTAGAGGAAGAGCACCAACGGCAAAGAAGCTAAAGCCTTCTGGGGTCGCTTAGTCATTTAGAGGAGCAGATGGGCATACAGGGCACGCGTCAGTAGTCCTCGGCTGCACTTTCGTTACAGCCTTGTATAATAAGGGAGGTGCATGAGGAGAGGAAAGTGAAATGTCATTTGCTTGATTTTAGGAGATACGGGAACATGGAGTCTGTTTTAGGAATATTCCCACGGGGTGCCTGGGCGGCTCAGTCGGATGAGTGTCCGACTCTTGGTTTCAGCTCAGGTCACGCTCCTGCCGTTCATGAGTTCGTGCTGTGCTGACAGCACGGAGCCTGCTTGGGATTCTCTCTCTCTCTCTCTCTCTCTCTCTCTCTCTCTGTCTCTCAAAAGAAAGAAACTTAAAACTAAACAAACAAAAGGAACATTTCCATCCAAGGCAATGTTGGTGCTTAAGGAAGGGGTAAGCATCTCTCTTCCTTGGAAAATTCACGTGCACCTTATTCACTTCACTGCAGCCTCGCTGCTTTTCTCTCAGTTCCTCAGACCTGCCAGTCCCCCCACCTTGCCTCAGGGCCTCTGTTACTGCTGTTCCTTCTGCCTGCCACTCCGTTCCCCCAGATCAGCCGGGCTGGCTCATGTACCACCCCCAGTGGACCCTTCCCTGGTCTCCTCCAACAGCCTCAAAGTCGCCCTCTGCCACATTCCGTTTCACTTTCCTCGTGGCCCTCAGCACTGTCGGGCTGGGGAGGAAACAGTCCAGGCGGATGCGGTCTCGGCGTAAGTGAGACCGGCGCCACGCAGCTGCCCGCATCCCCAGTCCCACAGGATGACACCAAACCGGAGAGGGCGGATGACACAAGGGCTAGTTGCCCTGTCGTGGAGGAGCCGCCTCCACGCCCCACTAAATGCTTTTCTAGCCGGCAGCTCTGTCCCCACTCGGGAGGCAAGGTGGCAGGTCCCATGGCTTAGCCCGAAGCCGGGGGCGGGGGAGGGATGAGAAACTGCCGCATGGCACAACCCCGCAACACGAGGTGGGTGACAGCCTCGGCACGGCTCCTCGCAAGGCAGCGCACCTTACCTCCTTCCTGGGAGGGTCACTGGGGTCGGATAGCGGTTGACTTTACGTGGCCCACGTGGTGACATCTGTGGCAGAGGGGTTCCCTTAGAAGCACCTGCCGATCGATCTTTCTCTGCTTCCTGCCTGGCTTCCCTAATAGACCTCGGGCCTGTGAGGGCAGGACCTCGCCGGTCTTTTCCCCGCCGCATTTCCAACATCTGCCTGGCTACCACAGTGCTAAGTATTTGTTGGATAAGTGACAGGAGCTCAAAAAGCAAATAAACTATTGAAAAATTCTATCTGAATCACCTAGAATTAGAAGCAAAATGCTCAACATTTCAGGGTGAGCAAAAAAACCCAAGAAACAAAAAATTCTGTTTCTTGTTAATACCAGCTAATACTGAATGATTACCATATGGAATGGAGTCATACTAAGTAAGCACTGTTGAATCTCTATGATACCCCTATGAGGCAGATTGTTTTGTGTTTTTAAAAGATGTTTATTCGGGGCGCCTGGGTGGCGCAGTCGGTTAAGCGTCCGACTTCAACCAGGTCACGATCTCACGGTCCGTGAGTTCGAGCCCCGCGTCGGGCTCTGGGCTGATGGCTCAGAGCCTGGAGCCTGTTGCCGATTCTGTGTCTCCCTCTCTCTCTGCCCCTCCCCCGTTCATGCTCTGTCTCTCTCTGTCCCAAAAATAAATAAACGATGAAAAAAAAAAAGATGTTTATTCATTTATTTTGAGACAGAGAGAGAGAGAGTGTGCGCGTGCATGCACGCAAGCAGGGGAGGGGTGGAGAGAGAATCCCAAGCACACTTGTGCTGTCAGCACAGAACCAGACTGAGTCCCCATGGCACAAACCTGGAGATCACGACCTGATCCCTTATCAGGTCAGATGCTTAAGCGACAGCCATCCAGGCGCCCCAAGGCAGATGTTTTTTGATCATCCCGATTTTGCAGATGAAGAAATGCAGGCCCCGAGAGGTTGCGTAATTTGCCCAGGATCACACAGCCAGAGGGGGCAGATAAGGAATTTGAACCCAGGCAGAACCAGCTCTTATTCCAGAACCTGCCCTCTTAGTTCATTGCCACTTAACCGTTAATGCCCAGCTTTTATGTGCCAACGAATACACTGACAGCATAGAGAAAAATATTAAGCTCATTGAAGGTAATAACTCCAAATGACTTGAACATTAAGCAGCTTTTTGAGGTCACAGCCGATCACTAGGAATGTAAACTGACTTCCTCCAGCGCTAAGAACCCTTTTCAAAGACAGTTATGGAGTTCTTCCAACGTGATCTTCAAGTTGTTCTGCTGGCTCCTTTTACGATCCCGTGGGCAGCTTCAGACAAAATAACTTCCTGGCATGAAGGATTGTGTGTGTGCTCTTTGCCATTTTTAAATGTGAATTTTATGGATACTTCAAACCACTTGAAAGAGGAATGATTTTTTTAATGGTTTTTCATTATTATTTGTAACTTCAAGCATCACTGGTAAAAACTGCCAGATCTTTCAAGTTTTCTCTTTACACGATCTGGGTGCACTTCACAGCGAGCCTCGTCGGTGTGACTCATGACCGAAGTGACTTTCAACCTTGGTGGCTTTACAGCGAAGCTCCCTTTCCCGACATTTTTTTCTCTTTCCTTCATTACGACGACCTTTGCGAGCTATGGTTCAGTTATATTGCCCACGGCTATCCCCTGGAGCCCCGGGCCAGAATCAGCCGTCACCTCAAGGAGCCCTGGCTGGTGTTGAAGAACGGCGTTAGACACCAGGATGTGGCACTGAGGTGTCCTCACTACCGCCGGGGTGTCCCTGCCTCCGGGTCCTCCTGGTGGGCAGAGCCAGAAGACGGAGCATGCACACTCACA